CCCATAGCATGCTCGGTCGGCATTGCTTGCGTAGCGACAGCCGAATAATAACCATCAGACAGAGGGATGACTTTTGGCTGTCGCAGTCCACCTTGTTGGACCCTCGCTACCGTTCAAAAATGGTGGCCTTTTTCACACCTGCTGAGAGGGAGGCCAAAATAACGTACTATAAAAACCACCTATGTAGTCAGTTGGTCTCTGCCTTTGTGCGCCAACGTCCATCCTCAGACACTGTGGCCCTGTGCGCTCGCGTTCCGCTGCCATGGCAGCAGGGGAGGGGTGGGGTGGAGCAGTGGCAGCTCCACCAGCAGCGGCTGCCTCAGTCTGCAGTCGATGATGAGTAGCTTTCTTCACCAGCGCAGTGTGAGGAAACTACTAACCAGCCGCGCAGCAGCAGCAGCAGCAGCAGCAGCAGCATCAGGTGGACCTGGAGCAGGACCTCAAACAACAGGCTTGGGCCTACTTGGACAGCACCCTGCCAACCGAGGTAGACAATCCCCTTGACTACTGGTCAACGAAACTTGACCTTTGGCCCCAACTAGCTGAATTTGCCCTTGAAAGGCTGTCATGCCCGGCCAGTAGCGTGGCATCGGAGCGCGTGTTTAGTGCGGCAGGAGGTATTGTAACTCCGCGGAGGACACGACTGTCCACCCAAAGTGTGGAGAGACTCACGTTTGTGAAAATGAATCAGGCGTGGATTAGTCTGGATTTCAAACCACCAGTTCCTGACACAACTGACTAAATCCGCCATGAATCATGCCTCAAACATGTGCCACTTTTGAGGTCTCCTCACACACTGCTGGTGTGTTGAATTTTTTTGACATAGGGTGCTGGCAGATTACGGGCCTCCTATAGCTGCTGCCAGGCCCCTAATCTGCCATGGGCCCCTATATACTGCCGCCTCCTCATGCTGCTGCCTCCCAGTCTCCATCATGCTGCCATGTGCCACTTTCAGGTCTCCTCACACTGCTGGTGTGTAGAATTTTTTGACATAGGGTGCTGGCAGATTACGGGCCTCCCATAGCTGCTGCCAGGCCCCCTAATCTGCCATGGGCCCCTATATACCGCCTCCCATGCCTGTCCTCATGCTGCTGCATTGCTGTGTCTCCCACAGTGTCTCATGCCATGTGCCACTTTCAGGTCTCCTCACACTGCTGGTGTGTTGAAATTTTTTGACATAGGGTGCTGGCAGATTATGGGCCTCCTATAGCTGCTGCCAGGCCCCTAATCTGCCATGGGCCCCTATATACCGCCTCCTCATGCTGCTGCCCAGGTCCAGAGTCTCTCATGGGTCCCCTGTACGGCCTCCCATTGCTGCTGTCTCCATCGCCACACTCTGCCATGTGCCACTTTCAGGTCTCCTCACACTGCTGGTGTGTAGAATTTTTTGACATGACATAGGGTGCTGGCAGATTACGGGCCTCCCATTGCTGCTGCCAGGCCCCTAATCTGCCATGGGCCCCTATATACCGCCTCCTCATGCTGCTGCCAAGTCCAGAGTCTCTCATGGGTCCCTGTACGGCCTCCCATTGCTGCTGTCTCCATCGCCACACTCTGCCATGTGCCACTTTCAGGTCTCCTCCTCACACACTGCTGGTGTGTAGAATTTTTTGACATAGGGTGCTGGCAGATTACGGGCCTCCCATAGCTGCTGCCAGGCCCCTAATCTGCCATGGGCCCCTATATACCGCCTCCTCATGCTGCTGCCAGGTCCCAGTCTCTCATGGGTCCCTGTACGGCCTCCCATTGCTGCTGTCTCCATCGCCACACTCTGCCATGTGCCACTTTCAGGTCTCCTCACACTGCTGGTGTGTAGAATTTTTTGACATAGGGTGCTGGCAGATTACGGGCCTCCCATAGCTGCTGCCAGGCCCCTAATCTGCCATAGGCCCCTATATACCGCCTCCTCATGCTGCTGCCAGGTCCAGAGTCTCTCATGGGTCCCTGTACGGCCTCCCATTGCTGCTGTCTCCATCGCCACACTCTGCCATGTGCCACTTTCAGGTCTCCTCACACTGCTGGTGTGTAGAAATTTTTTGACATAGGGTGCTGGCAGATTACGGGCCTCCTATAGCTGCTGCCAGGCCCCTAATCTGCCATAGGGGCCCCTATATACCCCCGCCTCCTCATGCTGCTGCCAGGTCCAGAGTCTCTCATGGGTCCCTGTACGGCCTCCCATTGCTGCTGTCTCCATCGCCACACTCTGCCATGTGCCACTTTCAGGTCTCCTCCTCACACACTGCTGGTGTGTAGAATTTTTTGACATAGGGTGCTGGCAGATTACGGGCCTCCCATAGCTGCTGCCAGGCCCCTAATCTGCCATGGGCCCCTATACCGCCTCCTCATGCTGCTGCCAAGTCCAGAGTCTCTCATGGGTCCCTGTACGGCCTCCCATTGCTGCTGTCTCCATCGCCACACACTCTGCCATGTGCCACTTTCAGGTCTCCTCACACACTGCTGGTGTGTAGAATTTTTTGACATAGGTGTGCTGGCAGATTACGGGCCTCCCATAGCTGCTGCCAGGCCCCCCCTGCCATGGGCCCCTATATGCCATGGGCCCCTATATACCCGCCTCCTCATGCTGCTGCCAGGTCCCAGTGTCTCATATGTGCCACTTTCAGGTCTCCTCACACTGCTGTGTGTGTTGAATTTTTTTGACATAGGGTGCTGGCAGATTACGGGCCTCCTATAGCTGCTGCCAGGCCCCTAATCTGCCATAGGCCCCTATATACCGCCTCCTCATGCTGCTGCCAGGTCCAGAGTCTCTCATGGGTCCCTGTACGGCCTCCCATTGCTGCTGTCTCCATCGCCACACTCTGCCATGTGCCACTTTCAGGTCTCCTCACACACTGCTGGTGTGTAGAATTTTTTGACATAGGGTGCTGGCAGATTACGGGCCTCCCATAGCTGCTGCCAGGCCCCTAATCTGCCATGGGCCCCTATACCGCCTCCTCCTCATGCTGCTGCCAAGTCCAGGGTCTCTCATGGGTCCCTGTACAGCCTCCCATTGCTGCTGTCTCCATCGCCACACTCTGCCATGTGCCACTTTCAGGTCTCCTCACACACTGCTGGTGTGTAGAATTTTTTGACATAGGGTGCTGGCAGATTACGGGCCTCCCATAGCTGCTGCCAGGCCCCTAATCTGCCATGGGGCCCCTATATACCGCCCTCCTCATGCTGCTGCCAGAGTCTCTCATGGGTCCCCTGTCAGCCTCCCATTGCTGCTGTCATGCCATGTGCCATGTGCCACTTTCAGGTCTCCTCACACTGCTGGTGTGTAGAATTTTTTGACATAGGGTGCTGGCAGATTACGGGCCTCCCATGCTGCTGCCAGGCCCGTAATCTGCCATGGGCCCCCCCCGTACCGACTCCTCATGCTGTGACGTTGCAACAAGGTGGAATTCAACCCTACATATGTTTAGACCGCCTTTACGAACAGCGAAAGGCCATCACAGATTTCCTGATGTTAAAAGCGGATAAAGGTACTCCCTGTGTAACTTAGATGTCAGCCATTGGCAGCTCATGCGTGACACCTGCGCTTGCTCAGGCCCTTTGAGGAGGCCACGCTATTCGTGAGTCGGCAGGACTATGGGATGAACGACGTCATTCCTCTGTTGCACGTCCTGGAACAAATGCTGTTAACAATGGCTGGTCAGGGTGCGGTAGACGTGGCGCACAGATCTCAACGCCACATGACCCCTGTGGGGGCAGGACAGGAAGAAGAGGAGGAGGTAGAGGAGGACATTGGTGCTCAGGAATTATTGAGTGAAATGGGTGGTTTTTCCACTCAGCGGACAGGAGTGGAGGAGCAGGAGCATCTGGTAGAGGAGGAGGAGGAGGAGGAGACAGAGGACCCAGACGCACCGTGGCAGTATGCTGTGGAGATGGAGGCAGGGAGTCCCTCGCATTCCTTGGCACAAATGGCCCATAGCATGCTCGGTTGCTTGCGTAGCGACAGCCGAATAATAACCATCAGACAGAGGGATGACTTTTGGCTGTCCACTTGTTGGACCCTCGCTACCGTTCAAAAATGGTGGCCTTTTTTCACACCTGCTGAGAGGGAGGCCAAAATATACGTACGTACTATAAAAACCACCTATGTAGTCAGCTGGTCTCTGCCTGTCTGCGCCAACGTCCATCCTCAGACACTGTGGGCCCTGTGCGCTCGCGTTCCGCTGCCATGGCAGCAGGGGAGGGGTGGGGTGGTAGGAGCAGTGGCAGCTCCACCAGCAGCGGCTGCCTCAGTCTGCAGTCGATGATGAGTAGCTTTCTTCACCAGCGCAGTGAGGAAACTACTAACCAGCCGCAGCAGCAGCAGCAGCAGCAGCATCAGGTGGACCTGGAGCAGGACCTCTCAAACAACAGGCTTAGGCCTACTTGGACAGCACCCTGCCAACCGAGGTAGACAATCCCCTTGACTACTGGGCAACGAAACTTGACCTTTGGCCCCAACTAGCTGAATTTGCCCTTGAAAGGCTGTCATGCCCGGCCAGTAGCGTGGCATCGGAGCGCGTGTTTAGTGCGGCAGGAGGTATTGCAACTCCGCGGAGGACACAACTGTCCACCCAAAGTGTGGAGAGACTGACGTTTGTGAAAATGAATCAGGCGTGGATTAGTCTGGATTTCAAACCACCAGTTCCTGACACAACTGACTAAATCCGCCATGAATCATGCCCCAAACATGTGCCACTTTCAGGTCTCCTCACACTGCTGGTGTGTTCCATTTTTTGTCATAGGGTGCTGGCAGATTACGGGCCTCCCATAGCTGCTGCCAGGCCCCTAATCTGCCATGGGCCCCTATACCGCCTCCTCATGCTGCTGCCAAGTCCAGAGTCTCTCATGGGTCCCTGTACGGCCTCCCATTGCTGCTGTCTCCATCGCCACACTCTGCCATGTGCCACTTTCAGGTCTCCTCACACTGCTGGTGTATTCCATTTTTTGTCATAGGGTGCTGGCAGATTACGGGCCTCCCATAGCTGCTGCCAGGCCCCTAATCTGCCATGGGCCCCTATACCGCCTCCTCATGCTGCTGCCAGGTCCAGAGTCTCTCATGGGTCCCTGTACCGACTCCTCATGCTGCTGCCAGGCCCGTAATCTGTCATGGGCCACTGTAACCACCGCCTCCCCATGCTGCTGCCAGGTCCAGAGTGTGTCATGGGTCCCTGTACGGCCTCCCATTGCTGCTGCCAGGCCCGTAATCTGCCATGGGCCCCCGTACCGACTCCTCATGCTGCTGCCAGGCCCGTAATCTGCCATGGGCCCCTGTACCCGCCTCCTCATGCTGCTGCCAGGTCCAGAGTGTGTCATGGGTCCCTGTACGGCCTCCCATTGCTGCTGTCTCCATCGCCACACACTCTGCCATGTGCCACTTTCAGGTCTCCTCACACTGCTGGTGGTTTCCATTTTTGTCATAGGGTGCTGTATGGCCTCCCATTGCTGCTGCCTCCACCGCCACACTGTGGCTCCACACTCTGGTTTTGGCCCCGTGACTGCCCAAATGAGTGAAGTGTGCGGTGATTCTAAGATCGACGGCACACATCTGCATGTCATACTGACTGACAGTATTATTTCTCTTCCCCAGCAGACTCCAAGGGCATTTAAATTAAAGGTACAGTGTTCAGCACTAATATTAAGTCTCTCTGAAGCCTAGAAACACCCTTTTTTAAGTTAAATTCACAGCGAATATATTCGACTCGAATCGAAATTTTTCCACGAATTCGCCGAATCAGTCGAATCGAATTTTTGAATACTTCGCTCATCTCTAATTATTGTTACTATCTATTCTTGGAGTTGCATTTTGTTCTGCATTGTTTAAAAAAAAAAAAGTGCAAATGCAAAGTGCACCTAAACTACCTCAAATTATATCACTCACATTCTCGCACCCTTTATCCCTATAATAAAAATAAAAGTTAAGCTTATATTGGTTGTGCCTATTAAGTCAAATTCCTTCATATTTGGGAAAAATAAAAATCCTTAATTTTAAGAGAGCTAATTTTCCAAGGCTAAGAGCTGCTCTCCAAGACTTAGACTGGGAGGGAATTGGCATCAATAAACACAACACAGAAATTGGAGTTCTTCAAAAAGACTGTATGTGAGCACACTGCAAAATATATTCCAATGGTCAACAAGTTTAAAAGACTAAAAATCAAACCTATGTGGCTTACGGCCAAAGTTAAAAAAAGCTGTAGATAATAAGAAAAGAGCTTTTATTAAATATAAAAATTAAGGAATGCTAGCATCATTTAAACATTACAAAGACTATAACAGAATATGCAAAAAGGAAATAAAGGCCACAAAAATTGAAAATGAACGACAGATTGCAAAAGATAGCAGGACCAACCCCCAAAAAATTTCAAATATATTAATAGTAAAAAGGTCTGGTCCGAGCATGTAGGCCCTTTACAAAATAATCTAGAGTGGGGGACTGGGGACAAAGAAGGCAAATGTATTAAATACCTTCTTCAGCTCTGTGTATACAAAAGGAGTATGAGGGAGCTCTTGTCCATAATGGGCATGGTATTGACACAGCTCCAGATGATCCACATTGCCTCACAATTGATATGATCCAAACATATTTAAACAGAATAAAGGTGAATAAAGCACCTGGACCGGATGGCATACACCCACGGGTCCTTACAGAATTGAGCTCTGTCATTTCAAAGCCATTGTTTCTATTTTTTATGGACTCTTTAACCTCTTGCCGTCCGCCTGCTGTTTATAAACGGCAGGGCGGTGGCAGTCCAAGGTCGGGTTGCCGTTCCTAAACGGCACCCGCCTTTTCTAGCTGTGCGCGCGCTCCTAGGAGCGCGCACTAGCGCGATCCGGTGTCCGCTGTGTCCTCCGGACACAGTGAAACACCGATCGTCGGACGGGACCTCTGTACGAGGTCCCGGTCATGTGATCACTGATTGGCGAATCAGTGATCACATGCAAAGTAGTGAGCAAGATGTCACTTGTGACATCATTGCTTACTACGTGTGAAATCTGTGAATGATCACAGAGGTCACATGGTACAAGGCTATTCACAACAGCCTTGTACCATGTGACAAGCTGTGACCAATCACAGCTCACTCAGTATTTCTCAATGACTGCAATGAAATGCAGACAGAGAGAAAGAGAAATGATTGCTTTTACATCCTATATGGGTGTAAAAGCAATCAGTGTAAAAAAAAAAAAAAAAATCTTCATCACCCCCCACAAGTAGTACAGTGTCACCATGGTGACACTGTACTGCTAGGGTGACAGTATGTAAAAAAAAAAAAATAAAAATAAAAATAATAATATAAAAAAAATAAAATAAAAATGTAAAAAAAAATGTTTAAAAATTATAATGTTTTATTATAAACTAATTTGGATTTTTTTTTTTACTAAAAAAATAACGGAATAAATTTTGGCCAAGATTTAGGATGAAATATTATTTATTTGCAAAATTTTATAAAAAAAACACTTTTTTTCAAAATTTTTGGACTTTTTCATTTACATAGTAAAAAAAATAAAAATCCCAGCGGTGAATAAATACCACCAAAATAAAGCTTTATCTGTCTCAAAAAAATGGTAAAAAATTCATATGGGTACAGTATTGCATGACCGCGCAATTGTCATTCAAAGTGTGATAGCGCTGAAAGCTGAAAATTGCCCTGGACAGGAAGGGGGTAAAAGTGTCCGGACAGGAAGTGGTTAATGACTAGCATAGTACCACTGGATTGGCATAAGGCAAATGTGGTGCCAATATTTAAAAGGGGATCAAATCTTTACCAAGTAATTATAGACCGGTTAGTTTAACTTCTATAGTTGGGAAGATACTGGAGAGTTTAATAAAAGACCACATAGATGAGTTCTTGCTAGAAAAAAATATTTTAAGCAACATGGATGGATTCATGAAAGACAGAAGTTCTCAAACAAATCTGATTTCTTTTTATGAGGAGGTGAGCAAAACCTTGGACAGAGGGGTGGCGGTGGACATGGTATACTTGGATTTTGCAAAAGCGTTTGACACGGCTAATGTGTAAGATAAAGTCTACAGGCTTAGACTGTGTTGGGACCCTTACTTTTTAATATATTTATAAACAGTATAGGGTCTGGGATCAAAAATACCATTTCAGTCTTTGCAGATCATACCAAGCTGTGCACTGGAATTACGTACTTACAGAATGTCTTCAACTTACAAGCTGACCTCAATGCACTGTTTAATTGGGCAACTATGTGGCAAATGAGGTTTAATGTTGATAAATGTAAGGTTATGCACTTGGGGGCTAAGAATATGCATGCATCATACATACTGGGGGTGTACAACTGGGAGAATCAATGGTGGAGAAGGATCTGTGAGTTCTGGTAGATCACAAGCTTAATAATGGCATGCAATGCCAAGCTGAAGTTTCTAAAGTGAGCAAAATCCTCTTGTATTAAAAGAGGTATAGACTCCAGAGAGAGAGATAATATTTTACCCCTGTACAAATCATTAGTAAGATCTCATCTGGAATATGCAATTCAGTTTTGGGCACCGGTTCACAAAAAGAACTGAACCTGGAGAAAGTACAGAGAAGGGCAACCACATTGATAAAAGACATGGAGGAGCTCAGCTATGAGGAACTGAATGTAGTCTCTTTTGAGAAGAGGAGATTAAGGGGGGATATGATCAACATGTATAAATACATCAGCGGTTCATATAGTGAACTTGGTGTAGAGCTATTCACCCTGAGGTCCTCACAGAGGACAAGGGGGCAATCTTTATGTCTGGAGGAAAAGAAATTTACTCTCCAAACACGGAAAGGTTTCTTCACAGTGAGAGTTTTTTTCCCTGCAGGAGCAAATTGAATCATGCTTTGCTGGTGGTTTTTTTTTTGCCTTCCTCTGGGTCAACTGTGGGTATAGGATTATAACTTTTTTTTTTTTTTTAAATATTCGAACTGGATGGACTTTTGTCTTTTTTCAGGCAGACTAACTATGTATATTGGAAGGGTACTCTTGCAAGGTATGCAAGAGTGGATGGTACTGGTATGGAATGGGTGGATGCTTGCTGCCCCTCTTTCCTGGCCAGCAACACTGCATGTCTGGATAATGGTCTTTTTGAAATGTTATGGATACAGTTTTATTTTACGAAACTTAATTTTCTTTTACAAAGCCCAGCACACTACATAAAATGGTGTGGGGTCCCCCTAACATTTCATAAAATACTTTTTCCAGACATGCAAAATTAGCTGGCCAAGAACAGGGGGCAGTGGGCATGCAGCCTACCTTCTGAACCATACCATGGTACCACAACATTGGAGGGAGGTATCTTGCAAGACGTGGTTCAGAGTCCCCCCCCCTCAGCAAGGCATCTTTTCCCCAAATTATAATAACCAGTCCACGAAAGAAGTCCTTAACTGAAACATAAAAATAAGTATAAATGTAAACCATGCTCTACAATGTAAATCCAGTGTAAATGTTATCCAGTGATGTAGAGCCATGTCAGTCATGATGAGCACCACCTGAAAATGTTGACCCACCGGTCTGCTGACAATACCAATTGTAAGGAATTATGGAGCTATGCTGTTGTTTACATATAGAATCCAACAATTCGGGGTGATGTCAAACACCAAATATGGTCATGCCAGTTTGTTTACAAACAGAAGCCAGAAGTGATCTGTTATATAGGGGTGTTATGGCTACCAGAATTAAAAGGCATATCACTTGTTTGTTTACAAGCAAAAGCTAGATGGGGATCTGTCATTTAACCACTTGCCCCCCTGATTTACCCTCATTCCTGACCAGGCCATTTTTTGCGTTAGGGCGCTGCGTTACTTTAACTGACAATTGCGTGGTCTTGCAACGCTGCACCCAAATTAAATTTACATCCTTTTTTTCCCAGTAATTGAGCTTTCTTTGGGTGGTATTTGATATATTGTGCTTTTTTTATTGCGTTATAAAAAAAAGACCGACAATTTTGTGAAAAAACAATATTTTTGATTTGTTGCTATTAAACATGTCCAGTAAAAAAAATTTTAAAAATCTAATTTCGTCATAACTTTAGGCCAAAATGTATTCTGCTACATGTCTTTGCTAAAAAAAAAAAAATCCCAATACGTGTAAATTAATTGGTTAAGTTATAACGTTTACAAATGGCGGTATATATACTAAAGAAATGTTTTAATAGTAATGGCAGTGATCAGCGACTTATAGAGGGACTGCGGCAGGCATTCTGACACTGGGGGGAACTGAATTGGTGTCACTGACATCCCCAGTGACACCAATACAGTGATCAGTGCTAAAAAAAAGCACTGACATTGTACTAATGGCACTGGGCAGGAAGGGGTTAACATGAGGGGCAATCAAAGGGTTAACTGTGTGCTGGAAGTGTTTTACTGGGGGGGCGGTGTGTTGGTGCTTCACTGTAAGTGTGTCAGCAGTGTACATGAGCTGACAGGGAGGAGATGTTAGCAAAAAAAAAAGCATCCCTCCTCTCCGTCTGAGAGCCTTGGGAATCACTGGGCGCCGGCAGGTAATCACCGGCCAGGACCCAGTGATTGACAGCCTAGGCTGCGAACGGCGGCATGGGTAGGGCATGCGTGCGGCTCACACGTGCCCCCTACCCGGAAATGCAAAATCATGTATACATATGTGATTTCACGCACCCCTGCCTCCCTGTAGCAG